ATATATATATATATATATATATATATATATATATATATATATATATATATATATATATATATATATATATATATATATATATATATATATATATATATATATATATATATATATATATATATATATATATATATATATATATATATATATATATATATATATATATATATATATATATATATATATATATATATATATATATATATATATATATATATATATATATATATATATATATATATATATATATATATATATATATATATATATATATATATATATATATATATATATATATATATATATATATATATATATATATATATATATATATATATATATATATATATATATATATATATATATATATATATATATATATATATATATATATATATATATATATATATATATATATATATATATATATATATATATATATATATATATATATATATATATATATATATATATATATATATATATATATATATATATATATATATATATATATATATATATATATATATATATATATATATATATATATATATATATATATATATATATATATATATATATATATATATATATATATATATATATATATATATATATATATATATATATATATATATATATATATATATATATATATATATATATATATATATATATATATATATATATATATATATATTTTTTTTTTATTCATAGGAATGCTAAAATAGTTATTAAATGGTGGGTTCCACACAATCGATTCTTGTTAGACAACAAATAAGTAACTTATTTATACTCTTCCTTGTGTACTGTTTAAATTGACTACCCTTTTGTTATGTTTGTGTTTTTGCCCCATTGGCTTCCATTATAACCAATTGTTTTTTATTGCAAACCCATGACACCAAATATTCATGAATTCTTGATTGTTGGCGTTTCTCTCTGTTTTGAAGAGGTTAAACTTATCATTTTTACTGTTGATCATCAGTTGGTAGCCTTAACCTTTTAGATAGCCCTGAAGTTCTATGGAGTAAAACAACAATTGTTACTGTGAGTGCATAAATACACTTACTGGGACCGATTTTGACAATCCAGGTGCATGGTCCAATCCACTTTTGCTATTTTAAGGACGGAAAAATTGCTTTGCTGTGGTGCATG